AGACTACGCCACTGCGCTTATTGCTGAGTCTGAGTCTGCCAGTCCTCCGTCTGTCGGGGGTGAGTGTGCTCTTGGCACGGACGTCCTTGAGGACAGGGAGGAGGACTTTGAGTGTCTTGCAGCTGCTGTACCTCGTTTCGCTTCCATGCTGCTTGCCCCTGAGGGAGACTTGGATGCACCAGACATCCCAACCCCGCGCTCTTACGCAAAGGCGATTACGTGTCCTTACTCCTCTCTGTGGCAGGCAGCCATGGATGTCGAGATGGCATCCTGGAAGTCCATAGGCACCTACGTTGATGAGGTTCCCCCGCCTGGGGTGAACATAGTCGATGGCATGTGGATTTTCAGGGTGAAGCGGCCGCCGGGTTCTCCGCCTGCCTTCAAGGCGCGTTACGATGCTCGAGGCTTCAGTCAGCGACAGGGGGTCAACTAATTTCAGACCTTCTCTCTCACCCCGAAGATGACTACTCTTCGGGTGTTGCTGCACGTCGCTGCTCAGCGTGACTACGAGTTGCACTCTCTGGACTTCAGTACAGCTTTCTTGCAGGGCAGCATGCACGAGGAGATCTGGCTGCGCCGCCCACCTGGCTTCACTGGGTCGTTTCCTGAGAGTACCCAGTGGAGCCTCCGGCGGCCAGTCTATGGTCTTCGCCAGGCGCCTCGCGAGTGGCACGACACACTGAGGACTACACTTGTGGTTCTTGGGTTTGCTCCTTCTACTGCTGACTCGTCGCTGTTTCTACGCACCGCACCTCGCTGCCGCCGTTCTATGTCCTCGTCTACGTCGACGACCTCGTCTTTGCCACTGCTTATAATGAGGCACTGACCCTTGTGAAGTCGCTGCTGCAGAAGAGACACACCTGCACTGACCTGGGTGAACTGCGCAGCTATCTTGGCTTGCATATCACCCGGGACAGAGCACGGCGCAGCATCACACTGACCAGTCACACATGGTGCACCAGGTCCTTCAGCGCTTCGGCTTCCAGTTCTCCTCGCCACAGCCCACTCCTCTGTCTACCGGCCACTCGCTCTCAGCTCCACCTTTGGACGAGTCCATAGAGCCGAGTGGTCCGTACCCAGAGCTTGTGGGTTGCCTCATGTATCTGATGACGTGCCCACGACCTGACCTCACGTACCCTCTTATCCTCGTGGCTCGCTACGTGGCTCCCGGCAGGCATCGAAAGGTGCACTGGGATGCTGCAAAGAGGGTACTGCGTTACTTGTGCAGTACGTTGGGCATGGGGCTCGTGCTTGGAGGACGGGGTCCAGTTGTCCTCACTGGTCACGCAGACGCATCTTGGGTTGACGAATCAGCTACGCAGCGGTCGTCACAGGGTTACACCTTCAGCCTTGGTTCCGGCTCTGTTTCCTGGCGGTCTACTCGCTCGGCTTCGGTTCTCAGCTCCAGTTGTGAGGTTGTGATCTACGCCGGGGCCATGGCTGCACAGGAGCTACGCTGGCTCACCTACCTGCTGACTGACTTGGAAGAGCAGCCTCGTTCGCCTCCAGTTCTGTACGTAGACAACAAGGCCATGATTGCCTTGTGTCAGGAGCACAGACTGGAGCACCGAACGAAGCACATCGCTCTATGATACTTCCTTGCTCGAGAGTTGCAGCAGCGTGGCCAGCTTCGTCTTGCGTACGTGGCCACTAGGGCCAACAGTGCTGATATATTCACCAAGGCACTTCCGCCTGGTGATCATCAGCGCTTCTCTACTGTGTTAGGCCTTGTCCCTACTTTGCCTCACTTGCTCACTTCTTGACTCTGCTTGTACTGTGATCTATATATATACTTGCATGCTTACACTTGCTAGGGTATGATTACTGTATTGTTTGTTCTCTTTTATATAACTCTGCATGTGAACTGGCCTTGTGGCCCTTTGCTTGTGCTCGGACTGTGTGGTGACTTTGTGATCCACCCCGAGCTTGCTTTGCTTTTCTTGACTGGTCTTGTGACCACTTGCTCTCCCCCACTTTGCCTATGGGGGTGTGTCAAAATGTTGTATAGCTTATATTGTGTAGGCTATAGTGGGGGTAGCCCATAAGTGGTACAACCCAATCAGGGATAGTATTTGTACCCAACTCTTTGCTATTTCATTCATCCTCATTCAATATTCTGACATGTGGATTCGGCTCGCAACAACATTATTGCGAGGCCCGGCACTCGAGTGTATTTAGAACAGTTACGAGATCCGAGGCGAGGGGTCATGGACGCAGTGTTGGGCAGCTTTAATTCAACGTTTCGAACCGATTAATTCGAGCTACATGGCGCGGTAGCAGATTCATCGGCACCAATAGTACGGCAGTGTAACACAGTACACGCAACAGATGGAGAGCCTCTTTAACTAAATTCCAAACCTGGCCGAAGGGGAAAAACTGAAGGCGTACACTAAGGGACTGAAAATGGAGATACGATGACAAGTTATTGCCGCGAACTATAGTAACTACTGCGACATGGTGCGTGCAGGAGAGAGACACGATGCGCTGACGCGAGGACAGCCCGAAACACGACGCTACGTGCCGAACAGGACTTTCGGCAAGGAACAATCGGCACCCCCCATGTTCGACAATTTGACGGACATCGACAAAATCAATGCGAAGCCGCGGCCGACAAAGTCCTAGATTTCCGAGTTTTACAGCGCAGTCGGACACCCGAATATGTCGTGTTACAAAATGAAAAAAAGCACATGCGGAAATGCTGGGCAACAACAGTGCGGCACCCCCGAAGTAAAAAAAACGGGTATCGCCAGTAGCCGCGGATCGATCTGGAGATCGCGAAGAGATCCAAAAAGGGCAAGAAGGCGGCGACATGGCGACTTTGGAGCGGGCGAAAAAAGGAGAAAATGATGGCGCGGATTTAAAACGTCATGACCGGCCGGCACCAGGGGAAATCGCCTAGAAAAAAGGAGGCTCCGCGAAAGACGACTCTGCATTGACTGGGAAACTTCAGCCGAACACCCACGAAAGTAAGTTATCCTAAGAAGATACTTTAACTAAGAATATTACTTCATGTGGTTTTGAAGCCTCTGAAAAAATAAGGGAAGAATTAGAGGCTAAGAAGATGCCTTTAGAGATTATTCAGGTACATGAGAAGTTGGGCCAAGTACTCCTATGAAGAACATAGGTGACGATCTCGATGTGCGGGTACTTCTTCTGCAGCAGCTTGCCGGCGGACACGTAGTTCCTGCCGCCGTCCGTGCAAATCGCGTCGACGTGCTTTGGTCCAACCTTCTCGATGATCAGCAGGACACGAACTATAAACGCCCCACTCATTGTCTTCGCCTTACAGTCGACCGCCTCTTGGAAAACCGCACCACTAGCGTTGATGCAGATGATGTTCATCTGCCCGCGCCCGATCTTGTCCGTCATCATGTCGCTGATGATCGTCACGCCAGTCTCCTTCCCAGTCTTCGTAATGGGCGCCAATCCCTTCTCAATCTGCTTCTTGCACGCCAGCAACCCGGCGCCTCCAACGTAGCAATGCTTGGGGGGGATGTAGCCGGGTCCGGCGGCGTCAACGGCGCGCCGCATGTTGAGGAAGAGGGGGTGCTCGCACACAGTCTCCGGCGTGCGCGTCCCCGCGATGTAGAGGCAAACTGCATCGTCGGCCGCACGTAGGGATGAGCAAGAGGTGAACACGAACGTGTTCGCGTTCGCCCCTGCACGAACACCGCCGTTCAACGAACCGAACACTGTTTGGTTCGCCGAACACCTTAAGCAAAAAAGGGTGTTCACCATTTGCCTGTGAAGGTGAACACCTTGGTTTCGTAGGCGAACACGAACGTGTTCGTGGCAAACACGTTCGTATTCGCTTTTGGGGATCCTCTGTTACGCTCTAAACACCCAACGGCGGGCAGGAGAATTGCGAGAAACTGGGGGAAAAAATTTAGGTTGGATCTGGCTTGTGCTAGTTAGGGATCCACATTTTTGCTTATCCAGCTCGCCACCTGGAATTTGTCAGAATGTTATATTTGTCTAGCCTGCAGTGGGGTACTCAATAGCGAGTACATCCCAATTTAGGGTTTGCTATATGTACTCAACTGCCTGCTAGTAAAAGCTCTCTTTTTCTGTTTCATTTCCGTTCCTGATTCTAACATGGTATCAGAGCGACATCGCTCCTGGCCTGTGGGCCCACCTGCTTCCGCTGCTGTCATGTCTGTCGCGCGCCCCGTGGCGCGCGACGTTTTTTCTTCCCGCCACGCGCTCCGAGCGCGTGGCGGTTTTTCTGCCCGCCGTGCGCCCCGAGGCGCACGGCGGTTTGCTGTCTCACGCGGCGCCCTGGGGGCCCGCAAGCTGCCCTGCCCGTCGCCCGTCGCGGAGCCCTGTGGGCCCGTGCGTCGCCCCCCCCCATCCCGTAGCCCGTCGCGGCACCCCGGGGGCCCACGCGACGGCCCCCCCCCCCGTCGTTCGTCACGGCACCTTCGGGGGGGGCTCGTGCGTGGCCCTCCCGTCGCCCGTCGTGTCGCCATCGGGGGCCCGCGCGGCCCCCCCGTCCGTCGCCCGACGTGGCGCCCTCGGGGGCCCGCGCGCGGCCCCCTCCCGTCGCCCGTCGCGGCGCCCTCGGGGGCCAGCGCGCGGCCCCTTTCTGACGCCCGTCGTGGCGCCCTCAGTGGCACGCGCGCGGCCCATCTCCAGTCGCCCGTCAAGGCGCCCTCGAGGGCCCGCGCATGGCCCCCTCCTGACGCCCTTCGAGGCGCCCTCGGGGGCCCGCGCGACCCCCACCCCGGTCGCCCGTGCGCTACCCCTCCTGCAGCCCATGAGCCGCCCCTGCAGCCCCAAGTCGGCCGCTAAGTCCCGCTCCCGCTCTCACCCCGTGCTATCAATGTTAGGGTTTGGGGGTGGAGCGTATGGGGGTGACGGGTGTGTGCGGCCTCCTCTACTCCTCCTCCTCCTCCTCCTCCTCCTCCTCTGTCTCCCAGTGCTGCAGCTGCCGCTGAGGGGGGTGGATATGTGGGAGCTGTCGGAGTAGTACTACGGAGGTGGCGTGTGCGCAGTGCTAGATGTGCAACAGCTTGCACGGCGAGGAGAAATCGCTGCAGCCGCTACAACCAGCGGGCACACGCTGTGGGACACAGTACATTGCGGTGTCACGTCTGCGTGATATTCGCCCGCAGCTGATGCAGATGATGGTGCACAAGGACTGGGAGGAGAAGGGGAGGAAGCAGCAGACTGGAAAAAACTTTGAGGCGTCGGTGTTGGATGCGGAGTGGTGGAAGAAGGTGGATACCTTTGTGAAGGTGATGGAGCTGCTGTACAAGGTGATGAGGAGGACGGATGGGCCGGTGAAGGGGGTGATGGGGGCGTTGTACGACATGATGCTGCAGCTGATGGAGGAGTTGTCGGCGCTGTTGGAGAGCGCGGATTGTCAGCTCAAAGAGGCGGATAAGGAGGGGTTGCAAGAGCATTTGAGGCAGCGTTGGGACGAGAGTTTGGCCTGTCCCCTTCACGTGGTAGGCCGGAGTCTGAACCCGGTCAACCAAGAGGAGGGGATCTACCTCAAGGACATTGAGTCAGGGTGATGAAGGCTTGGCTGTCATGCTCGAGGACCTTCGTCGACAAGTACTAGAAGAACGACGGCGCGACGAAGGGAACGACGAAGGCGCTGCAGGAGGGGATGCTGGCGTATATTGAGGGCAGGGGGTGCTTTGGGTCAGAGGAGGCGATAGAGGGGCGTGCAGAGCTGAAGGAAGGGAAGGGGGACATGGTGACGTGGTGGAAGGTGAACGGCTAGGAGTACGCCGATCTGGCAGGCCTTGCGTGCCGTGCGCTGTCACAGCCTGTTTCCACTTCCCCATGCGAGCGAGGATGGGCTGTGTGGGATGGGGTGCACACGGCGCGCAGGAACAGGTTGGGGTCGGAGAAGGTGCGCGACCTTGTGTTGGTGGCGCACAACTGGACTGTTGTGCACGGACACCACCAGGGTGCAGCTGGTGCAGGGCCAAGTGGGGAAGTAAGGAAGGCGGGGGTAGTGGAGGGGAACATTCCCACCCCTCCCCTTCCCAAGGGGTACAAGTTGGAGGAGGATGGGGAGAGGGAGGTGGACGAGGACGACATGTGCGTCGACGAGTACAAGGACCAGGAAGACAAGGAGGAAGAGGAGGAGAAGGAGAGCGTGGAGGATGGGGATGAGTGATTGGTTGCCTTGATGCAGTGGTAGTGTAGTATGCATGTTCTTGAGCGATTGGGATAAATGTGACCTTCTAACATGTGTGACGTGACTCACCTTAATCCTGAATATTGGGGGAAAAATTTGTTGTTGGGGAAAATTTTGCATTGAATGTGTGGAACGTCCCCACCCCTCTCTTCCCATGCCCTATAACATTTTTTTTTGCTTGCCTGGGGGTTTTTTTTCCCTGCCCGAGCATGCATCTCTTGTAGCGTCTCCTAGGCCCTGGTGCTGTGTCCTGCGTCTAAGACGCTGCGTCTGGACGCAGGACGCGTCTTTCTCAACTAAGACCCACACCATGATGGCCTCAGGGGCCTCAGCCTTAGAGTGGAGGAGGTGCACAGAGACGTAGCGAGAGTGGCCATCAACTATTGCAAGGAAATAGCGATAACCGCCTAATAAACTCAGGCTATTAAGACGTTATCCAACTTAAAACCTCTCCTCGGGGTCACCTCCAAGAGTCCCTGGGTGCCTGGCACAAGACCAGCCCCTATCCTCGGGTCCGAGTTTGTAGAGAGAGGGATCAAGAGAGACTTAGTCAAAACAGCAAGAGTACCTTGAACGTCGCGCAGCCTGCCGTGCAGACCGTCGATCGGATTACCAGCGGTTGTAGCAACAGAACCAACCTGGCTTGACAAAACAGCAGGTGGTAGGTTGGTAAACAGCCTCTGGTTCTGTTTTTCCAACCTGGGAAAACAACAACCTGGTTGAGGTCCTAAAAACACAACCTGTTTTCTCTTTGCCCAACCAGCCAAATGCTGGTTCCGCTGGTTTCCCCTGGCCCTGTAGCATGCAGATACAGACAAACAACATCCAACCTTCACCTAAATTGTACCCCTATAGTGCCTGCCCTGCTACACTATAGTCAACCAAACAAAACAGTACAATTTCGAGTTGGATAGAACTGAATCTGCGCAATCAATTCAACCGAGCTGCAAAGCTTCCATCTTGGGTTCCTTTGCGAGCTCGTCCTTTCTGCTTGCACTGTTCATTGCGCGTACAATGTTGTGCCGAAGCGCACATTGCGCGAGTACCTGCAAATGCATCAAGCGAAAATTGCGAAAGCAAACAAACACACGAACATTCCATTCACACCCAAATGCATTCGCACATGCATACTCGTACAGACAGACGACAGGATGTCGTGCAATGTGAATTTGCACCCAACAGCATCGTGTAGAGGCCGTTGCTGTTGAGGGTGAAGCGAGCTAGGATTTTGTTGATGAGTGGGTTGATGATGTCATAATAGTCCTTGTACTTCGAAATTATTGTGTGGACCCCTGCCTCCTGAAGTTGTTTTTGAGCCACTAGATTGTGGCGTAGTGAAGGCACGCACATGCTCGTGACTGTGCCAGATGGGAAGGTGGGACACGGGACTGTGAACGAACCCTTGGCAAGAATGGTGAAGCTTGAATCAGCTCCCAAGAGAGGAATGGGTGTTGAATAGGGTTTGAAGGAGAGTGTCTTCTTGAGCACTGTGTGGGTGGCCCTGCTGTCGAGTGTGAATTGTATGTACTGTGGTGCCTGTGGTGAGCCGATGTGCTGCGAGGTTGCTTCATTAATCATGGCAGTACCAAGGATCAACAAGTTGATGGTTGCCGAGGCTGAAGGCCATCATGAAGAACCTCTTTCTCGCGTGAAATGTCTCTCTTAAGTCACCGATAAGAATTTCGGGTTTAGGGTTTACGAGGGAGAATTGTAAAATAGGGTTTGTGAAGGAGAATTGTACAGTAGGGTTTATGAAGGAGAATTTTGAGGAGAGGTTTAGCGATTTTGAAATCTGAAGTTCTCGAAGAGCGAAGAACGTCAATGTCGGTCGCTTCAAGATGTCTTGTAGAAGGTTTAAGGCCGACGAAAATAGGTTGAATCGGCCGATTTTGGTAGTGTCGACTAACTACTAATCCTATTCCCACACTCCCCCCCACACACCACCCTCAGCTTCGCGGCTGTGCTGCTGCTCAGCTTCACTGCTACACGGCTGCTCAGCTGCACGGCTACACCTGTTCAGCTGCGGGGTGATAGAAGTGCCGTTGCGGGGCGACGGGCGATAGCCCGACAATTGACGAGATGGGAGAAATAGGGTTACGCCGAAGCAAGAAGAACGGCGGAACAAAGCCGTGGTGATGAGGGAGAGCGGCGACGAAATGGTAGCGACGGTTACCTTAAAACCAGGGTGCACATTCAACGCGGTTCGGCTCTGAAATTTGGGAGGGCGATTCGGTAAAAAATCGGGATTGGTTGACGAGGGGCGATTCGGTAAAAAAAATTGGTTGGTGTTTCGGCATTTCGCTGGCGGGAAGGAAGTGGGGGAGAGTGGAGGGCAGCAAGGGGGGCGGAAAGAAACGAAATGGCAGGAGGGGACAAAACAGAGTGGCGGGAGGGGACGAAACGAAATTGAGGGGGAAGGGGAAGAAAAATGGGGGGGGACAGGAAATCAGCGCGAAATCAGAATCCCAACCCCGAAGCACACATCGTAACTCATGGCATCAAAGGTTAACCTTTGATGTGCATTGAGGTGAATGTGCACCCCGGTTTTTAGCGAGAAGCAGAATTCGGTGCCTCGTAACTGCAGATAAGGTAGCGCTTGAGAGAATCTGCCTACGGAAGATGTCGCGAATCAACGGCGACGAAGACGGCGCGGGAAAAATTCCGGCCGGGAAGATTAGGTCGATGACGATGCTTTACGTCGAGCGATGAATGTTGAAGGTGGTTTAGCCGAACAGTGCGAGAGTGGATTCCGCAAAGGTAGGATGATCAAGATCCGCGTATGCGGTTGAGGAGCTCTGATACCATCCATTAGTAATGAGCTTGAAGCTCTTTTAGTACATCCAGGATGGGCAAGGAAAAGATGGGAAGGGAATCAGTCAGAGGCAATCTCTAGGGATGGGGGGTAATCCGAAGGCAATCTCTAATTGGTGGGTTGAAGATCACATTTGGGTTTGGTTGGGATGTTGGTGTACACCCAACCAAACACAAAGTGCAAAACTACACTACGCTAGGATATAGAAAGTACAAAGTACAACGTGTGAGATTGAGGTTTAACACCAACATCTCCACCAACAAGCGTCCTCCCAACTGGGCCCCACCCCGTCACGTGAACCAGGTCGAGGCAGTGGAGGAACCTCTTCCCACAGTTGCTAGCGCTCCATTTGATGTTCGCCTCAATCTCTTGTTCTCTGGTGCTGGTATTGTTAATGAGAAGGGGTCACAGTACATCGGTTTTTTAGATACACAAGGTCAAGAGTTCATACTAGACAGTGGTGCCACCCACACCATACTCAAAGACCAAACCTCATTCGTTCCCTACCAGGCTCCCACCCCACTCCTTGGAGCCGATTCTAGTTTCTCCATCGAATGCCATGGCTCCTCCACAGTTCCTTGTCCAGCTTTCCCATCCGGCACAGTCACTGGCATCTGTGCCCCAACCCTCCTTGCATAGCGTGAAATTCAACATGCAGGAGTGATCACCTTCTTTCCCAATGATGTTGACTACTGTGACCTTTTTTACGCCAAAACCGGCATTCATCTTGCCCGCTTCACCCTCAACTCCAACAACCTCTACACACTCGTTGTGCCTCCCGCGCTTGGAGACCCTTCCTGGTTTTCCGCCTCGGCCGTCTTCACCGCCTCTGCAGCATGTCGCTGTAGACTCCGGTGCTGCTGGGGGTGGTGACACTAGAGGTGCGGACTCTGGGGGTGCTGACTCTGGAGGTGCTAAGTCTGGGGGTGCTGGTTTTGGGGGTGTTGAGAGTCCGAGTGGTGGTGGAGTCGTGGGTGCTCCTATTGGAGGTGCTGGGAGTGGACAACAGCGGCAGTCTCGTCGGCAGGAGACCCTCTTGCCGCAGCACCTTTGAGAGTGGGTTTCTTCGGCGAGGCCGCTCTGGTGACGGAGCTGGAGCTACTAGTGCTGGAGGCGCTGGTGCTGGAGGTACTGGTGCTGGAGGAGCTGGTGCTAGAGGTGCTGGTGCTGGAGGTACTGGAGCTGGAGGTGCTCGTCGGCAGGAGACCCTCTTGCCGCAACAGCTTCGCAAGTGGGTTCTTCAGCGAGGCCGCTCTAGTGACGGAGCTGGCGGTACTGGTGCTGGAGGTACTGGAGTTGGAGGTGCTCGAGCTGCTGGTGCTAGAGGTACTGGAGATGGAGGTGCTTGAGGTGCTGGTGTTGGAGGCGCTGGTGCTGGAGGTCCTGGAGCTGGAGGTGCTGGAGGCGCTGGTGCTGGAGATGCTGGTGCTGGAGGTAGTGGTGCTGGAGGTGTCAGCGGGAGTTGTGTTTGGCCCCGTCCTCGCCTGGGCGGAGCCGACTACGTGGTCGGGTGTGCGGGAGGTGCAGCCGACCTGCAGCAGTGGGCGACGCCGACTTGTCGGGCTGGTCGACAGGACTTGGTCGATCTGCACGAGGCCACTGCAAAGCCGCCGACTTTGGGGAGCTGGCGGCAGAATTCAACTTGGTGGTTGACGAGGGGGGACGTCGACCTGGGTGGGGCGCCAACATTGGAAGGCGCCGAGTTCGGGTGGTCGACCTGGCGAGGTCGACCTCGGAGGCGTCGACTTGTGGACGCCGACATGGGGTAGCCGACTTGACACGGTCAGCTGACAGGTGTGCTGGTCGACCTGGAGCCGGTCGACCAGGAGTGTGGTCGACCTGGGAATGGTCGACCAGGTACACGATCGACCTGGTGTGGTCGACCAGTGGTGGTCGTCGACCTGGGTGGTCGACGGGCACAAGGAAGAGCTGCTGGTCGATGTGGTTGCCCGGTCGACCAGGTTACCCGGGCGACGGGGTTCTGCGGAGGACTGCGACGGTTGCCCAGGTGGTTTTGGCGAGGCCGACCTCGATGTGGTATCCCGAGGTCGACGTGGCTGATCAGATGCAGTTGTCAGCACGAGGACGATCTGGTGTGTGCGCTGTGCAGGTGACGAGGCACAGCACACCAATCATCTGCGAGCACCTGCAAAGTAGGTGGGCTGCT